GGTTGTTGTGACTAACTTTTTTGTAACGCATTCTATATGTGAATTCCATTTCAAGTGGGAATCTATGTTAAGACTATGTCAAGAACGGAAAGCTAAAATATGACTTTTTATATGATTTCCCAAATTGTATCTGGGTTTGGTATGCTGATAAACGTCAAAATACGTCGATGTGTATGCGTGGACTGGAAAGAAAGGAGGATGAAGAACGCAAGTTAATATTTTCCATAATAATAGGGGAGGGACTAGTGAAAGACATATCTGGGTTATGGTAGAGTTAAATGCAGTTCAGAAAGAGCTCAAAGAGTAGTGTATACTGCTTAAAGAACAATGGAGAAACGATACATTGCGACAATGACATAACGTCAATAAGAAGGGACATTATTGAATTTATTGAAATTGAGAAACAAAAAGGAAGAAATGAGTTCGAAGGCGATTTAGCTTCATGATCCGAAAAAGTTATGATTTTTTTTCAAAGAAAATCCAGCTCTATCTTATGACATGTTTGATTCAAAACTTTTTTTGGAAAAAAATGAGCTAAAATATACATCAACTGATGTTTCCAGCTATGCAGTGCAGCAACTAAATTCCATTCACCTTTTGAGACTATGTGGCTTATGTGTGCTATAAGTAACTCAACTTCTTCTAAACAGAATAGGCCTCTAAGACTTAGCGTCAGTGCAGGAAATAGGTTGTTAGTTAAAGAAATCTAAGGAGGACAAAATACGGTGGTTATAAACAGCTTTTTGCCGTTCAAACTTTCCTGCATTGGCTCCCCAGGTCTCCTAAGTCAATAAGCCTTTTTTTATTTTTATTGAAAACCTTGGAAAGACTGTTTGGTGGTCACATAAGAGATGTCACTAGCACTATTACTAGAACTAACACAAGACCTAGAACTAGAATCATTCGGGTTTAGCCGTCTTGAGAGACGTGCGGCTAAATCCGAATATTTCTAGTTCTAGTGTTAGTTGTAGTTTTAATCGTTATTTAGCGTTAGATTGTGGTATATTTTTATAGAACGAAACGTAGAACTAACACTAGATCTAGAACCAGAAACAAGATAAAGAAAGATATGGCACATTTAACAGAGCATCAAAGAATTGAAATTTTAATAATGAAAGGATTCGGTGACTGGTAAAATTAGAAACTTAATTTCTTTTGATATTTTTTAACCTGATCTCATGGTTGCAGAACTCGTACACATGAGTAGGTTTGCAAAATGTTTAATAATAAGTATGAAGACAGTACGTCTATAGGACGTGGTACTATATTTAAGATCATAAAAAAATTTGAGGAAATTGGGCATACAGTGATCGCTCGAAAAGTGGTCGCCATCTTGTACCAAACAAAAGAAGATCAAACGTTTTATTGTCTGTGATTGAAGATCCTCATAAGCCTAGCAGAGTAGTTGCCATAGAGAATAAAATTAGGCAAAGTTCCGTACGTAAGATCCTTAAGAAAGAAAAATGGTATCCTTATTTATTTATTACTTATTACATATTCGGGATGCATACAGGGAGAATATCCTCAACAAAACATCTTCATAACAACGAAAAATTAATATAAAAAAAAGTAGTTACATAATACACATGGTTGAAGCCGTGGTTATAGGAATAAAGAATTCGAACTAATGGCGAGTTTTGATAAAGGTTGATGTTCGGGGGGTATCCAGCATGCCATTAACAAGTTTGAAATGGAAGATCAAGTCAGAAACAATTCGACGTTGCTGCAGAAACAATAAGTTGAAGACTACGCAACGCCTATCGTAATCGCAGTAAGGTAGATGAAATTTATGTGCCAAATAGTGTACAAAGCAGCGTTGAACCTCTTCGATGCGATCACGATACACCGCATACATAGGATTCCACACTATACAACCATAGGATAATACGCTATTAACAAATGCCATATAAAGGGATTTAATGCTTGTAAAATTGGTAAAGTATCTACTTATTCCGATAACAAACCCTAGGTTATGCAGGGCTTTCGCCACCATCAATTCAATGTGAAGCTTCATATTATTAAGTGTCACTAATTAAGATATCTCAATTTGGCATCAAGTATAATAAGTCTATAAGTAGAGATAATAGATCTACCATTAAAGTTGTAATTAAAATTAATGGGATAGCGTTTCCATGTAACCTTTTTTTTTTTTTGCTTTAGTCATAGTTCAAATAAAGGAGCTTCAGGCAGTCATGACTAGAGCTGACTCTGATAAATATTTTATTATCATCCGCATAGAGCAGGAATTTGGAAAATTTAAAGCAAGAAGAAATGTCGTTTATGTAAATTAGAAATAATGTAGGCCCAAGGTAACTTCCCTGAGGCACATCAGATGAGATGGGTTTGTTTTCTTGTCTGACTTTTGTCCGCTTGATTTGCTGTTTTCTGTCGTATAGTTCTGGCATTATTGTTCGTGTAGGACAGCTTTCGTATAAGAATTCCATAGTCAATCTTGTGGAAGGCTTTAGAGTAATCGGTATAAATTGCGTCAACTTGTGAGTCCTCATTTAAGAATCACAGAATGAATAAAGTTAACATAAGACACTAAGTTAGACTCAACCGATCGTCCAGGCAAGAAACCACGTTGTTCAGTAATGAGAGAGTGAGCAATAGAGTGGTTAAAGTAATCGTAAACGATTTTTTCAAAAACCTTGAGAATAGATGAGAGGATAGTAATTAGATACCAACTGTCTATTCCCGGATTTAAATATTGGAACGAAAAAAGGTGTCTTCCACGCGCTTGGAAAACTACCTTCGAGTAAGGATTTTGAAAAAATAAGAAAAACTGGGGTCACAAGTTCGACAACAAACTTCCTCAAAAAGCAAGATGGGTCAAAACATTAAGGACTGCGTCAGCAGAGAACGAAGGTGAAACACACTGGCCACCGAAGACCATTGAACGGTCAATGGTACCATCTACGAAAACCGAGACGAAATACTCTGCAAATTCACCCAACCCATCAGCGGAAAACATAGTGGCTTATAAAGTACAATTTGTTCAAAAATTGAAAGAAGATGATCCAGATTGGAGTATGTAGTTTTACGTGACAATATTGGATCGATTAAACGATAACCCTATATTTTGTAAACAAATAATTTTTTCTGACGAGGTAACTTTCTTTTGAAATGGTACAGTCAACAGGCAGAACTGCAGATATTGGTCGGACGAAAATCCTCGCTGGAAGATGGAGACACATACACAGTATCGTCAAAAAGTTAATGTATAGGTAGGAATTTCCAATTATAAAATTATTGAACCTTATTCTTTCAAAGAGTACCCTAACCGGGGAACAGTACTGGGCATTTTTGGAATTAGAATTAATTCCGGAATTAGCCAGACGCTTTCCAGATGATATGACTGTTTTGGTTTCAACAAGATGGAACCCCTCATTATTTACGAGATGTCCGTGACTTTCTAGACACTGCAAAATAGATCTCCCGGCTTAACACCACTGGATTATTTAAAAGGTAAAATTTACGTGAATAGGCCGCAAAACATAAAACAACTAAAGGATCGAATTACAGAAGAAATAGCGCTTATATCACCAGGAACCATTCAAAATGTTTTAAGTGAGGTTTTGCTCTGAATTGGTTTCTGTTTTCAGAGACAAGGAAATCATATTGAAAATTTCTTTTAGTGTGTTTTTAGTTCTTTTTGTTCTATTGTGTTTATGTAACTTATGATACCATGTACTTTGTTTCTGTTTCAGATTTATTGTTCTTTCATGGTAATTGTAAATCGTAATTTCTAAGCAATTACATTTACAACCCTAGGTATACAAATATATCACTGAATAGGTAATAAAAATATCTTTTATAAAATTTAAAAATATACAGTGTCTCATTTAAAAGAAAAAGATTTTATAGAAAATTTAAATTCAAATGCAAAGTTATGTAAGCTATACACACAAATTTTTGTTCAAATTGATCAAGTCATTAAAAAGATTTCTTCATGCTTCCATACATTACGCGCGTACTGTATATTGGGAATTATATGAAATACCCGGTACCTCTGAGCAAGTAAAGTATACAGCAAGTAAACAAATAAATGTATTATATTATAAATTGAAAATGATCGCTAAAGTATTGTAAATTGGAAAATAAAGTAACTAAATGTACGAATAAAAGGAAGTCATAAAATTCCTTTAGTCAAGAAGAAAAAAAAAACATTTTAGAAAACGTTAAGTTTGACGACCAACAGATGTACCGCGAATATCATTAATTTTAAAAAGACCCGTTCCAGTTGGATTATAACGTAAATTCAAGTTACGTAAACTTGAGGGAAACTATTTCTACATTTCCGATGGATAATTTTTTATCAAACACGACAGGTTCCACTCCAGTTGAAACGATAACGATGAAAATAAATTTTCATTTAAAAAGCTATTTCTTCTGCAAAGTAATTTTTCAAGCAGACTAATTTGTTGGAAGATAATAATTTTTGGCAGAGTTGCTAACCGGTTACCTCGTAATTCTGCAAGAAGACGTGTAACAGTTTCTTTATAAGAAGAGTAGAAAAGCGACCTTCCACACGACAAGTTTACTTAAGACGAGGAGTTGTCCTCGTTTCAGTTCAAGTTCGAAAATTATATTCTCGGCAAATATCTTTGTTCTAATTGAAAATATAAGTTAGAAACCCGAAAAATAATCAAATCTCTTCCGCAATTTATTAGAAATCGTGACGATAGATTCACGAGGAGTTACATGAAGATAAACTGTTCCGATCTGTTTTGAAAGGATTTTACCAATGAAAGCAAAACAAAGAAAGAAAAGGATTTTTTTTGGGATTCTTTCGTCCGGTAGTTTTTGCATAAGTGAAAGGATGAAATCGACAATGTTACGGATTCACACGGAATTGTATCTTTCACTAGGTTATTAAGTGTTTTCCTTTGTCTTCTACTTAACAGTGTATAACCGGAAGTTACTTTTAAAATCACTTTCTAACAACAAAGACACTTATTATATTTTTTTTTATATACTGATTTAGAGATAAATGTTTATAACATTAATTTTGTGGGAAAAGAAATAATTTGTATGTCTAAATTAAGTCAAAATAAGATTTACATCTTTACACATTCATAAAAATTATGTATTAAGTAGTAGGAGTAAAATACCAAATGGTAGTTGGTGGCTTTCAACATGGTACTACTTCTTCCGGACGGTGGCTTGATGTGGCTTCAGTGTACCAACGACCAGAGAAGTAAAACCAACACCAACGAGAAAACTATGTCGTACCAGTTGTAATAAAACTCGTCTGTAACATGAGACCCGATTAAAAACGTAACGAATCGAGTAACTAGTTGAAGTGAGTGATTCATTTAGTGCGTTATTGAGTTCAAAATGTGGACTAAAACGAACCGATCGTGTTACACTGACTTATTTAATATGTTAACCTTGTGTGTAATTTTATTAGGTAAGTTTTATTTAGGAAAATAAAAATACCTACATTTAAAATAATAAATAAGGTGCCTTCAAAAGAGGCCAACGAAAACGATAAAGTTCTTAATAAAAATCTTTTTTAGCCATCTACTCCTACAAAATTTTAGTACACAAACTTTGTATATGCCATCTGTTAAGTTTTTAAACACCTGCTGCCCATATTAATCGTTTTACATGATCATTATTTATAATGAATTGGATTTAAGATTTAAGAAGATGAGTAGTTACTAGAAAAAAATTACAGACTTAAATTGTAACAGAAAGCGAAATCAACCAAGTTAATGTGGAAATTATTAATATGTGCTATCAAGACCTGCATAATACGTTACAAGTATATCGTGGTACCAACATGATTTTTATTAGAAACTTTGCGATTAAGATTTTCTTTTACAATTTAAAATCCCAATCTAAGAGACATTAATAAATCAACCATATCACTCAAAATATATATTTTTCCACTCAAACAACACAAAAACCTTTTATAAAACCCGACAAATTTAGAATAACATACGATTTTCCAAACGAACTCCAACAGTAACAGCTAGAGAGCAATCCCCTTTATTGCTTTTAAAGAGAATTGGATGGTACACGTTACAGCCACCCAAGAAGCGCATTCTTGGTTGTCATAACAAAACTCCGAGATAAAGATTCATAACATGAAAAAGACGAATTATACTTAAACTAAATAAAATTGAGGAACACCATAAAAGAGAACGCAAAATCGTATTTATGTAACTAACCAACTGTGGGTTTACGGCCTTGTATAAAACTACCTTTTATGCAACCGTACAATCCCCGGAACGTTATTTACTCGTTCAAACTGTGAATGCGACCCATTATGACCATTCTAAAACGTGATCCAAATGGAAAGGGCCTCCATTCTATGGGTCCGATCCGGATGACGTTTTGAAAGTAAAACGGCGATGGTCGAAATTAACTATAACGACTTGAATGAATTTAAATTGGTTTAAATAATCGATTAGAAGAGAAACTTCGATCGGAAAACATAAACGGCAATGAACTTGAAAATCAGAAACTTGCAACGCGATCTAGAAAACAAAAAAATTAGAAATTACTTTCAGATTAGTTGCCGGCTACCACTTTCCGACCACGCCTTGTAACGTACGCCGTTTAAAACGTGATTGGAAAATCGTGGGGAAACTCGGAATACAGACCCGTATGCCAACTGACGCGTGAAAATATCATTTCTGATTCATCATCGTTCGGTTTATAGTCCAATCAACAAAATATTGTACAAGGAGAAAAAAATATCCTTAAATTTATGCGCAACCTTAAACTTGAATAGACCCAACAGCTTTCACCTATGCAGTAAAATTTTATACACCATCATATGGCTCTTACTAAACGATGTGGGTTGACATTTTTAACTGAGAGATCATCGTTCGATTTAAATGTAACTTTCAATTTAAATTTTAAATTAAATGTTAAATGTTATGTAATTTTAAAAATTTCAAAACTTGTCCAAAAAACTTTTTTCTTAAAAAATCGGTTTGTGCGAATGGCTGAAGATGTACGGCTAAATACAAAACTTTTAGTGCTAGTTCTAGTTTGAATTTAATAAAAAATATACAACAATCTAAATAACAACTAGAACTAACACTAGATCTAGAACTACAAACATTCGGGTTTAGCCCAGCGTCTCTTAAGATGGCTAAACCCGAATGTTTCTAGTTCTAGGTCTAGTGTTACTTCTAGTATTAGTTGTTAGTCAGTGCTAGATTGTTGAATATTTTTATTGCACTAAAAGTAGAACTAACACCATTCATAGAACTAGAAACATTCTGGTTTAGCCGTCTTAAGAGACGCACGGCTAAACTCGAGTATTTCTAGTTCTAGGCATAATGTTAGTACTAGTGGCACTGTTATGCAGAGTTGGTTAGTACTAGATATCATTATGTTGCATATTTTTATTGAACTAAAACTACTAGAACTAACACTAGGCCTAGAACTAGAAACATTTGGGTTTAGCCGTACGTCTCAAAAGACGGCTAGAACTAACACTATTCATAGAACTAGAAACATTCGGCCTTAGCCGTCTTAACAGACGCACGGCTAAACTCGAGTGTTTCTAGTTCTAGGCATAATGTTAGTACTAGTGGCACTGTTATGCAGCGTTGGTTAGTACTAGATATCATTATGTTGCATATTTTTATTGAACTAAAACTAGAACTAACACTAGGCCTAGAACTAGAAACATTTGGGTTTAGCCGTACGTCTCAAAAGACGGCTAAACCCGAATGTTTCTAGTTCTAGGTCTAGTGTTAGTTCTAGTTTTAATTGTTATTCAGTGCTAGATTGTTGTATATTTTTAGTGAACTAAAAGTGTCTAGGATATATGCAACCTCAGAGTAATAAAACAATATCGTACAATTAACGTTATAGTAGATTACTGTTGATTATACAGATAAATTGTAGCACCTCGCCCCTAGCAACCTCGGCTCTTTAATATATCGACTAATTTTGCGAAGATATGATATTAATTGAAGCTCCTAGGTTACAAGCAACCTCACATTAATGAAACAATATCATATAATCATCGTTTTAGGTTTAGCCGAGCTCTATCTCGGCTGAGGTGATATAAAATGTTACAAATTGTAGCGCCTCGCCCGCGAACGACCTCGGCGCTTTAATATACCAACTAATTTAATGGACATGTTGTATTAATTGAAGCGAGTAGATTTTAAGCAACCTCATCTTAATAAAACCATATCATATAAATCGTTTTACGTTTAACCGAGGTTCATTTCGGCTGAGATGATGTAATACGTTATAAATTGTAACGCCTCGCCCGGCAGCGACCTCGGTGTTTTATTTTGTCAACTAATTTTGTGGAGATATGATATTAATTGAAGCTCCTAGGTTACAAGTAACCTCACATTAATAAAACAATATCATATAATCATCGTTTTAGGTTTAGCCCAGCTCTATCTTGGCTGAGGTGATATAAAATGTTACAAATTGTAGCGCCTCGCCCGCGAACGACCTCGACGCTTTAATATATCAACTAATTTAACGGAGATACACAGTCTGTCCGTAAAGTAACGGATATAGGCGATAAAATCATTATGAACGGTTTATGGAAAAATCCCCGAAAGGGGTAATTTTTAACAGAGTTATGTATGACGTCATCGATATCTTTTTCAAATGGCAATCCCCCTTTCTTATTGCGGTATATGAAAGAGGATGTTTTGTCGAATCTAGCACAGTCAATATTAATATTCGTTACATAAGAAAATTTTCGGGAAAAATTACTTGAAAGTTTAATTATTTCAAATTTGCTTGACATGATAAAAATAGCAGTAGCCATGAGTAACTATGGTAACCAATCATTTTAAACAATTCTCTAAGTTTTATAAGTGTCAAACACTGATTTGGTAAAGCTTGTTGTTTCTTATAGCACTGATTTAAACTGTTCTTACATCGTTTTTGAGTTAATTTTTGTTTATTGTTTACTTTTATTTGTTTTCGTTGTTAATTTATTAAAATGGTACATTTGACCGAGCGGGAAAAAATAGAAATTCTGTGTTTGATTGGAATTGGAGATCGAACTCGGACTCAAAAAGAAGTAGTAGAGCTCTTTAATGCAACATATCCTGATCATAAACCCATAAGCCAAAATACGGTAAGCCGCATTGTCACTAAATTTAAAAATTATGGGCATGTACGGGATCTCTCGAAGTCTGGCCGACCAAATGTTTCAGATGAGGTTCAATAAAACGTGATTATGGGTAAGAACGCCCGTATGTTACGGTAAGGGATATTGGGTCGAATCTGGCCAATAGTAAAACAACGGTTTACAGAATATTAAAAACCGCAAAATATCATCCCTATAAGGTAAACCTCATTCACGAGCTCAATGAAGATGATTTTGATAGAAGATCGCAATTTTGTGCAACAATTGTGCAACGACGACGAAGATTTCGTTAAAAACATAATTTTTCCGATGAGGCAACATTTACATTGAGTGGGCAAGTTAACAAGCAAAATTGTCGGTATTGGGCTACCCAAAATCCACATTAGGCAAGTGAATCGCATACCCAATATCCGCAAAAGATTAATGTGTGCTGAATAGTACGGGATACTATCCTAGGCTCTTACTTGAAGGAACCTTAACTGGAGAAAGATATTTAGATTTTCTACAAACAGATCTCATTCCTTCCATAACGGGCAGATTTCCCGATAATGTTGATATGATGTTGCAACTCGATTTCGACGGCAATTGTTCTTCCAATAAGATGGCGCGCCGCCACACAATGCGGTTCCTGTGCGTGCATATTTAAATCAATTATTTCCCAATCAATGGATTGGGAGAAGAGGGCCAATTGAATGGCCTGCAAGATCACATGATTTGACTCCGCTGAACTTCTTCCTTTAGGGATATCTGAAGAGTAAAATTTATACCACTAGAGTCACTAGACCAAATACTTTGGGATGAACTAAAAATCAGAATCCGAGAAGAAGTTCAGCGAATAACTCCTGGTATCTTAGAGAATAGTCAAGAAGAATTTAAAAACCGTACAGGTTACTGTCAAGCTGCCCAGGTGCACAATTTGAACACTTAACACAATTAAAATTTTTCATTTATTCATTAAATTGATTAATTTTATTTTTTATTTACATATAATTAAACCGATTGATATTCATGGCTACTGCTATTTTTTCATGTCAAACCAATTTGAAGTAATTAAACTTTAAAGTAATTTTTTTCGAAAATTTTCTTATGTAACCAATATTAATATTAACTGTACTAGATTCAGTAAAGAATTTTCTTTCATACTCCGTAATAAAAATGGGGGATTGCCATTTGAAAAAAAAAGTTGCAAAAAAATTTAACTTTTTAGACCGCTTTCAGGGTTTCTTTCATAAACCGTTTATAATGATTTTATAACCTATATCCGTTACTTTAGAGACACACTGTAGTATTAATTGAAGCGGGTAGATTTTAAGCAACCT